AACAAGCATTAAAATGTCTGAAACACATCTGAAAAAAGCCTGAAACAAGCCTGTAAAACATATGAAAATGTCTGAAACACGCCTGAAACAAGCCTGAAACACATATGAAAATGTCTGAAACAAGCCTGAAAAAGCTTGAAACAAGTCTGAACACGTGTGAAACATGCCTGAAAATATCTGAATCACATCTGAAACACCTGAAATACCTGACCTCAGACGTTCACTCTTAAATACTGAACCACTGCATCAGATTTTAAGGAGTGAAACAATCAATTTGTAGAAGACACTGAAACACAGAGAACACTTCCTGTTTTGTGATTAGACTCCCACAGTTTATTAATTTGATCTATTTTTGTGATGTAATCTTTTTGTTATTAATAGTTCCTGCTTGAGCTCAGTATATAATCTCCACATTTTATGTGTTAAATCCTAAAGGATTCTGAATGACCAGGGTTATATTAAAAACAAACATGGTTAACAATGAGGTGCAGAAACCAGTGTCTGTGTACATCTTTTATGTACAGTGTATGACCTGAAGGCCACGCATTTTGAGTGTTATTAAAAATGTGTTGGACCCACAGAAGTTACAGTAACAGGGAGCTCTGCTGCTGAACTTTACCCGCCTCTCTCTGTTAGCTCAGTGTTTGTCTGCCGGACTTTGAGCCTTTCTGAGGTTTGTATTGATCGGAGGGAGGACGTGCAGACCGGAGCCTCTCTGTATCGACATCCCTGTGAGTGCTAACAGGCTTGCTGAGGAAACGCCACTTCCTGTCACAAACCTGATGATCAGCCATCAACACCACCATGAACACAGCCACCCTGAATACAACCACCACCACCATCAACACTGAAGCTCTACATGACTCCCCGTTGCAGAGGCTAAAACTCAAGCAGAGGATGTGAACTCCCACTGCAGTCCGTCTGCATGCCAGCGGTGACTTCATCTTCATCAGCCTTCACTCCTCACAGCGCTTCATGAGCCGTGAGTGGCTCTGGTACAACGCAGCACCTTAATTGCTTAAGAAGATGCTGAACAGACAGGAGCAGCAACAAGTCCACCACCACCATCATCATCCACACCAACACTATTATCATCATCCACACCACCACCATCATC